ATTAATATTTGACTTGGCCATGATGAGAAAACATATTCTAAGAAACATGAGTCAGTCCTATGTTAGTCTCCACATAGAACCTTAATATAGTTAATATCTATAAATAGTTCACAAATCACCAGTACTACCTGAAAGTTATAAAAGGGGAATAATAATTGTGGCACAGAACTGAACAGTTGGAGCAATGAGAGTGTATAGCCCTCCTATTGGCCTTCAGAGGCAGGATGGACCGAAAGTTGACCGCCTTCTCTTGTGAGTATCAGCTCTTGCCTCAGCAGCTTTGTAATATTAAAACTTAGCTATCTGATTACATTTTATCCATTTTTTATTTGTTTACTGATAGTGAAGTGAAATGCCCATGTTATACAATCAAACCATATCTGTGTAATTTTATTTTCTGAGAAATGTCAATAATAACAGTGTTACTAAATGTTAACAACTCAGAACATTTTTCCTAGACTGTTCCTACTTCATTTTGTTAAAATTGAAATCACTCTTATTTACCTAGTAACACTATTCATTACAGGTAAAGCTGGGTGAAATGTATTTTGAACTGATGTTACTTACATTTTACTTATTTCAAGAAATGTCTTTGAGTCAACATAAACGAAATAATGAATATATATTTAAATCTCAGTGTGGGCTGGTGCTTTGTGCATCTATTTACATTTGGGGATAGCTGTTTTGGAGAGAAATAGGTATTTGGGTGGTGGGAGGAACTGTGATTTTTTTAAATGCTTAAAAATAATACTGGTCATTTGCACTATAATTGTTTCTGAATAAAATTTGTATTCTCAGAAACTTTCAAATTATTGTAGAATATACGGGCCTACTTAAAAGAAAAATTAAAGTAGTCTGTCAGGATTTTTCCTTGGTTCAGAATTAAGGCACTCGTTCTTTGAAAAAAGTCCTCAGACGATTCTATTAATGACTGAAGAAAACAGTTGGAGAGAGAAATCTAGGAAGAGGAGCCATGAGCATTTCCAGTGTGTGAATTGGCAGCAATAATTCTGAGGAAAAGCAAAGTTTATAAATTTGGAAACTCCTCCTAGAAAGCTACACAAATGTCTTGCGTTAGAGGTCAAAACATGAGAGTCAAATTTATAAACCATCCAATTTAGGTGGGAATTATTCATGCCACACAAGATTCGGAAGCCAGAGATACTCTGCTTGAATCACTATTTTGGGAAATCCATTTAGATGGGCATCTTTTCAGCAAGCAGGCTAAAAATTAGCTTAAAGTGTTCAACACTTTCTTTTCTTACCTTCAGAACAAGAAAATAGTAAGAATCTCCTGCAGCTATATGAATTGCCTGCTTGAATCATCTGTCTGTGAACTTAGAAATATTCTCCAGCATTGTGCCCTTTTCCTGTATCAGTAGACACTCCTTATCTTTTATAGCCTGAAAACCCTGGAATATGATGACATGTGCAACAAACTTCTTAAGTCAATACACCCTAACTGTAAACACTGTTATTCAATAATTCTTTCAGATTCATCTCACTCATGCCTGGCCTTCTGCCTGTGACTTAAGCTTACTTTTTGTATGTGTTGAAAGCATTGTGTTGCTTAGAGAAACAGCCATTAACTTGGTAGTTAAAACCTACAACTAAGAACTTGAATGAGAAATGAAATGTAGTCATAGACTACTGTTTGGTTCAGCTGGGAGCAGTATTTACATTATCATGTTAATAAGCCTTGAATATTGATTTTCCATACTGGGAGAAGCATGAGTGTAGTGAGGGAGTTGTAGAAGGCCTCTTCCTGTTAGAAAGTAGATAGCGAAAGCTAAAATGTAAGAAACAGCTACAAAAGTAGGAAATGGGTGGGAGGGTTGGGGCGGTGAACTACTGATTTTTGTTATAAATTTTAAAAACTATGTATTTGTGTTATTTTGATAAAATAGAAGAAGTAACAAATGTTCAAAGATCTAAATCTTAGATTTTTTCATCATAGATTTCTTGGGACAGCTACTGTGCTCTTATTTTTCTTTAGCTTCTTTATTTAAATTTGTTCTAATTAGAATAATATGTGTGTATCTTTTGCCCTTGAGACCCAACAGATTGCTTAGAGCATTGTATTTAAAATGGCCAATAGTTTTTGATACGTGTTGAATGTTTGAAATTTAATACAAGCTCCAGCTGAGTTTATTAGCTGCAGGTTACTGGAAAAACAACAACAACCAACCCTGACTTTTCTCTGTTTATTATTAAAAACATTCTTTTGAATACATCTGATTTCTTCCCCTCGTCCCTGCAGGAATATTGTTATCCCTCAAAAACTTTGGCAGCTAGTGATTTATCAAATAGCATAATGAAGTCAGTACTAGATCCTGAAAATCTCATTTTATTGGTAGCCAATATCTCAAACAACTACTCATAAATAAATAACTACTCATAAACTCAGTTTCCTGTGTTTTTCTCTTGCAGTCATTGTTAAGTGTGGTGGTATGTCCAGGAGAGGCTGTGTGTTTTGTGAGAGCAGTGGGGTTGATTCATTTGTCAAATGGGCCTTTTCTTTTGTTCTGTAGCCAGCTTAGGAAACATGAAGGAGAGAGCTTTTTGGAAAGATCTTACTGGTGTGTTGGTACCTCTGGCAGGAACAAAGGATAGCATGCATGTGCTGTCATTTAGCTCTGTCTCTAACTAGAACCCACACAGTTTCTTAGCCAGTCCAGAAAGTTCCAATTCGAAATTTCCAAATAATAATTATTGTTGTAACCCACATTGAGCGTTCTTATGTTCCAAGTACTTAAAGAGCTTTTTAGGTATTACTTCATTTAATCTTCCCCACAGTGCTATGAAATATATATGTGTAAGATAAAGATACCTTTTTGGGGGCGGGGGGAGACAGGGTTTTACTCTGTCACCCAGGCTGGGGTACAGGGGCACATTGTTAGCTCTTGACAATGTCACAGCCACCTCCATCCCCAGGAGGACAATGTGACAATATCACAGCCACCTCCATCCCCAGGGTTCAAGTGATCCTCCTGCCTCAGCCTCCCAAGTAGCTGGGATTACAGGCACATAACCACCAGGCCCAGCTAATTTTTGTAATTTTAGTAGAGACAGGGTTCCACCATGTTGGCCAGGCTAGTCTCGAACTCCTGACCTCAAGTGATACACTGGCCTCGGCCTCCCAAAGTGCTGGGATTATAGGCATGAGCCACCATGCCTGGCAAAGATAACTTTTTTTTAGGGAAAGTTAATTGACACTTTTCCTAAAGACAATTTGGAACCATGTGTCAAAAATCTTAAATTCATACCTTTTCACCTAGCAAAATTTGTGTCCTTATTGATCCTATAGAAACAGAAAAAGATTCAAAGATGAAGACAAATGTTGTTGCAGTATTGCCAATAGTGTTAGGATAACTTAATATCCTACTATAGGAGATTGCTTAGACTCTGGACAGCTAAACAATAGAATATTATTATGCACTCATGGCAAATAAAGATGCTGAACTAAGTGCCTTAGGATAACACTCTTTCTCTCTCTCTCTCTCTCTCTCTCTGTGTGTGTGTGTGTGTGTGTGTGTGCGCGTGTGTGTGTGTGATTCCAGTCAAGAGTTGTACACACAGGCACGTCCTCATCCTAGATAGCCTCAATTTTACTAGCTTATGTCTCCTTCCTTCCTTCCCTTCTTTTTTTCCTTCTTCCCTTCCTCCTTTTCTTTCATTGTTTTTTGAGACAAGGTCTCGTTCTGTTGCCTGGGGCTGATGAGTGGTGATGCAATCTTAGCTTACTATAGCCTCAGACTCCTAGGCCCAAGCAATCCTTCTCCCTCAGCCTCCCAAGTAGCTGGGAACACAGGTGCATGCCACCATGCCTGGCTGATTTTAAATTTTTTTGTAGAGATGGGTCTTGCTTCATTGCCCAGGCCCATCTTGAACTCTTGGCCTCAAACAGTCCTCCCACCTCAGCTCCCCAAAGTGCTAGGATTACTGGCCTGAGCCACTTCACCCAGACCAACTTTCACAACATATTAAGTGAGAGAAAGGAAAGCAGATTTCACAGTAGTGGGAAATGATCACATTTTATTACGTTTTTAAAGTTTATGTGTGTATTTTTACACGAGGGGAAGTCTATCGGGGGAGGGTGTGTGTGTGTGTATGTATATGTGTATACGTAGACGTGTGTATCTTTATATACATATGTTGATGATAGTTGCCTCTGGATATGAGATTTTAATCATTTAAAGTTTATTTCTTCTTTCTTGACTCTTTTTCATTCAGTAAACTTTTTTTTTTTTTTTTTGAGATGGAGTCTCACTCTGTCACCCAGGCGGGAGTGCAGTGGCTCAATCTCAGCTCACTGCAGCCTCTGCCTCCTAGGTTCAAGCGATTCTTCTACCTCAGCCTCCCAAGTAGCTGGGATTATAGGCGCACGCCACCACGCCTGGCTAATTTTTTATATTTTTGGTAGAGATGGGGTTTCCCCATATTGGCCAGGACATCCTGATCTTGAATTCCTGACCTCAGGTCATCCACCCGTCTCGGCCTCCCAAAGTGCTGGGATTAGAGGTGTGAGTCACCGCACCCGACCCATTCAGTAAATATTTATTGAGCTACTGCTGTGGCCAACCATTGTATTTTCTGAAATGATAATTATTATTTGTACAGTTAAATTTGATGTTAAGAAGGATATTACAATTTTACAAAGTTTTTCATTAAATGATTAAAATAATGACTTGGTTATTAAAGTGGTATGTTATTTGGAAAATTCATTTACTTGCAACAGTACTCATGAAAAGTACAGAATAAAATGAAATGTTAGTGTAATGTGCTGAAGCATTCAGCCAGTATGATGCTAATAGGAGAAATGATTTTTATTTGTATGCAACAGTCTCTATCCAAGGTAGTCTTCATGTGGGAGGAGAGATGTTTCCATGCTCTACATTGCTTTTATTTGACTCAGAAATAAAGTTTACATAGGTGAAAAGAATCACTTTTTCATGATGAGTAGCCGTAGATGCATGTTTTTACCTTTTTTTTTTCCCCAGACAACTGCAAGAACAGCAACGGCAAAAGGAGCTGGAGCGGGAAAGGCTGGAGCGAGAAAGAATGGAAAGAGAAAGGTTGGAGAGAGAGAGGTTAGAAAGGGAAAGGCTGGAGAGGGAGCGACTGGAACAAGAACAGCTGGAGAGAGAGAGACAAGAACGGGAACGGCAGGAACGCCTGGAGCGGCAGGAACGCCTAGATCGGGAGAGGCAAGAAAGACAAGAACGAGAGAGGCTAGAGAGACTGGAACGGGAGCGGCAAGAAAGGGAGCGACAAGAACAGTTAGAAAGGGAACAGCTGGAATGGGAGAGAGAGCGCAGAATATCAAGTGCTGGTAAGAAGTTTACAGACTCTTCTGTGTTCTTGTATCTGAGCTTGGATGATGTCTCTTGTGCAGTCATGTGTTAAAATATTTCACATTTGAGATGTTTGGGATTAAGCCATACAATTTGAAATTATGAAAAATATGTAGCAATTACTACTTTAACATTTTCTTTTTATTTCTCTCTGTATTGCTTTTATTGCTTGGAGACTTAAAGAAAGCTCTTGGAAATTTTTATTCTGCCATTCTAATTCTTCTGACTCCCTATAAATTGGCTATAAAGTGTAAGTGTGTTTTTATGGGAAATTTTTTATAGTGGATGAACTTCAAATATATTTCCCTCATGAGATCACTTAAATTGTCTCAAATACTATAGTACTATAGTACCATTCAGCAAGAAATTTGCTTGATTACATTCTAAAGATTTTGAAGGAAGAATTATTTTAGAGAAATATTCTCTAAAACTGACTAGTTATTTAAATATACTTTCTAGTATTACGAAAAATTAGTGAAAATTATGAAATCTGATGGAATTTACTGAAAGACATAAGGGTTAATATATGGCTGAAAGTTTGAGATATTTTAACATTTATTAAAATTAACATTCATTATAGGATTTAAGAATACTCCTTATGGCCTATATAAAAAGTCTCAATGTGGTTTGATTAAATAGTGTTTGGTTGGTTGGTTTATTAAGTTAATTTATGTATTTTTAGCTACCTAATTATTTTCTGGAGTTATGACCAACAAAACAAAACTTTTCCACAAGTAAACATTGAGTAGGAGGTTTCTCACCCTTCATATTAAATGTTTTTCCAACTTTACTAGTTTTGCTATTTGTTGTTTTTTAAAAAAACACTAAATTTATTCTTCTGTTTATGGTCCTATTGTGATTTTAATGTCCTTTTTCTTGTCTAAATAAAAATTAAGACTAATACTAGCTTTTTCTTGTAAAAGAAATTAGTCAATTAAATTTGTTAATCCACTTATTAGATAAAAAGGAAACTTATTTCATCCCCTTCTGAATCTCAAAATGTATTTACAAGTTAAAATATTCTTGGGTGAAAATAGTTATTTGCATTTGTGCCTAATTCTCTGATACTAACTGTAGTCTACATTTATACATTGTGTCTGAATGCTGGTTTTGTGGCTTCACTAGCTCCCTTTTTCTCTCTCCTTTTTTATCCTGTCTTTTGCTGCTGCTTTCCACCTTCTGTCCAGCTCCATCTTCAGACAGCTCCCTGTATAACGCTCCACTTCCTGAGTATTCCAGTTGCCAGCCTCCTTCAGCACCTCCTCCATCATACGCTAAAGTCATCTCAGCTCCAGTGTCAGATGCCACTCCTGATTATGCTGTAGTGACTGCTTTGCCACCTACTTCCACACCCCCTACACCACCACTGCGACACTCAGCGACACGTTTTGCAACATCTTTAGGTTCAGCCTTCCACCCTGTTCTTCCCCATTACGCTACAGTTCCTCGTCCTCTGAACAAAAACTCTCGACCTTCTTCTCCTGTGAACACACCCTCTTCTCAGCCTCCAGCTACGAAGCCCTGTGCCTGGTCTACTTCCAATTTTTCGCCCCTCCCTCCATCTCCTCCAATAATGATTAGCAGCCCCCCAGGCAAAGCTACTGGTCCAAGGCCTGTCCTCCCTGTTTGTGTTTCTTCTCCTGTGCCCCAAATGCCTCCATCACCGACAGCACCCAATGGGCTGGTTGACTCTGTAACATATCCAGTGTCTCCACCGCCTACCTCAGGGCCAGCAGCTCCTCCGCCGCCGCCTCCACTGCCTTCCCTCGCTTCACTCTCACACTGTGGATCTCAAGCTTCTCCTCCTCCAAGCACCCCTATTGCCTCAACTCCCTCATCCAAGCCTAGTGTTCTCCCTTCTCCCTCTGCAGCTGCCCCTGCCTCTGTTGAGACTCCTCTAAACTCTGTGCTGGGAGACTCTTCTGCTTCTGAGCCAGGCTTGCAGGCAGCCTCTCAGCCGGCCGAGACTCCAGCCCAACAGGGTAAGGCTTTCGTTATTGCTACTAACAGCTAATCACTTGAAAATGTTATATAGCAGCAACTTTAATTACCTGAATGGATGGGTAGGATGGTTTTGATCCTTGAACATTTATATGCCAATGCCATGTTTTTTTTTTTTTATTAAAAAAATTAAAGTAGAAAAATGTTTTTCCTGTTGGATTAATTGCATTTGGATGAACTTCCATATTGAATTAGGTTTTGATATCTTTTATAGTATCACAGTTAAAGATGTTTTCTAGTATTTAAGAGCCCTCATAATACATTTCTTTATTTTTTTCTTTTTCCTATTCTTTTTTTTTTTTTTTGAGACACAGTCTTGTGTTGCCCAGGCTGGAGTATAGTGGCATGATCTCAGCTCACTGCAACCTCTGCCTCCTGGGTTGCAGCAATTCTCCTGCCTCAGCCAACTGAGTAGCTGGGGTTACAGGCACATGCCACCACGCCCAGGTGATTTTTGTATTTTTAGTAGAGACAGGGTTTTGTCACGTTGGCCAGGCTGGTCTTGAACTCCTGACCTCATGTGATATGCCCCCTTTGGCCTCCCAAAGTTGCTGGCATTATGGGTGTGAGCCACCGCACCCAGCCAATACATTCTTTCACTGGGAAAACTTTGCTTGACACATTGATCTACCACACAATAAATACATGATCAAAATTTTTTTCCTTTATTTTCTGGGACACTTAGAGAGATATATTTAGTGCCCAACTGTAGTCATTAGGTACATCATCCCAGAGTTTCCTTTGGAGCAATTCTGATCTTGGGCCCTGTTTCCTTCTTGCCTTTCCTATATTAGATGCTCCATGTTGGACTTTCAGGATAGGTGTCACCCTAACCCTTGCAGCATTATGACTTTGCAGGAGGAGTAGAGAGGATGGCAGGCTTGGCATATGCCCTAAAGAGTTCCAAGGTCCAAAATTACAATAAGTAGTGGCTTGAAGGGGTAATTGTTGACTTATCAAATTTGTTTACAAGGTTAGTCAGAATTCTAAGATATTCAGTTTGGTTTCACCGTGACAAAAAATGGGCACAGCCAGCCTGACAAAGTGACCTGCTGTACCCTCAGAACTCTTAACAACCCCTACAGAAGGCACAGACTATTTCTAGATGCTTCTTTCAACAATTTATGTTTTCTGCTTGTGTAACGGCTCAAGCTGAAAAAGTTAGCAATTATCACCCAGTGTGCAAAATAGCATTTTATTCATTCTGAAAACACCCCTCTTAAACCTTAACTAAAGAAGCATCTACTATTTCAGTATTCTGTTATTAAATAAATTTTTGTTCACTCCTTTTGTGATTTTATAACATTTGAATATTTCTCTTCTTGGCCTCTATTTTGTGGGATAAAACAACTCTGCTTCAAATCTTATGGTATTTATTTCCGAGCGTTATTTTGAGGTTTTACTTTGTACTAGTAAATTCCTTTACTTCAGTGAATCCTAACCTTGGCTATCCATTGAATTTAAATGTTAAGTATTTTTAAAATACTGAAGCCTGGGACTTACTCCTCCTTCATGTTTTTAATCCAGCCACTTTGACTGTAAACAACTAAATACATGTGTTCACTGTTACTGAATTTACTGTCTCAACACTTAAGGTTAATGTGGATTATTTTGGGTCTGTTATTTCAAGTAGTGCTAACTGCCTTTGTATATACTAGTTTGTGTTTTCAGGGATGCTTACCTCTCTTCCAAATTTTATAAGTATTTATTTTGCTTATTTACCAAATCCCCATGAACAAAAAATCTTAATTAGATGATCTGTTGCATAGTTCTATTACTAAAGCTCTAACATAAAGTAAGTAGTTATATATACTTGGACCTTACATTTCAGTATCTTTCAAAACTGACTGGAATTTTACAAGTATGATAAATTGAACTCATTAAGTAAATACATGAGTCAGTGTAATTTAGCATGGCATTCTGTGTACCTTCCCACATAAAATAATATCACTCAGCTCTATTGTTGATGGTCTTACTTAACATTTCTCTCTCTCAGGCATTGTCTTGGGACCACTTGCACCTCCACCTCCTCCACCACTCCCACCAGGGCCTGCACAGGCTTCAGTAGCACTCCCTCCTCCCCCAGGGCCCCCTCCACCTCCTCCACTCCCATCCACTGGGCCTCCACCGCCCCCTCCTCCCCCTCCTCTCCCTAATCAAGTACCCCCTCCTCCTCCACCACCTCCTGCCCCACCCCTCCCTGCATCTGGATTCTTTTTGGCATCTGTGTCAGAAGACAATCGCCCTTTAACTGGACTTGCAGCTGCAATTGCCGGAGCAAAACTTAGGAAAGTGTCACGGGTAAGTAGCTTTCTGAAATTTTTTTTTTAATATGTCTTATTCTTCCTAAATATCTAAAATGTTGAATTTATTGTATTTTAATTTTATGAACTGTTAGGAACTTCATTTATTTAACAAATTGAAATAATTTAACTGGGCACAATGGCTTACACCTGTATAATCCCTGCACTTTGAGAGGCTGAGGTGGGCGGATCACCTGAGGTCGGGAGTTAGAGACCAGGCTGGCCAACATGGTGAAATCCTATCTCACTAAAAATACAAAATTTAGCCAGGTGTGTGACACGTGCCTATAATCCCAGCTGTTCAGGAGGCGGAGGCAGGAGAATCACTGGAACCCGGGAGGTAGAGGTTGCAGTGAACCGAGATTGTGCCACTGCACTCCAGCCTGGGTGACAGAGTGAGACTTAGTTTCAAAACATAAAATAAATAAAAAATTAAGAATTGATATAATTAAAATTTTTATAGTAAAGTTGTAAAAATAGTATAAATAATTTCTATAAATTAATCACGTAGGTTCACCCATTAACATTTTACCAGTATTTGCTTTTTTATTCCTTCTTCGGGTATGTTTCCTTCTTTACACATGCATTTTTTTTTTTCTTTTGAGACGGAGTTTCACTCTTGTTATCCAGACTGGAGTGCAGTGGCGCGATCTCAGCTCACTGCAATCTCCACCTCCCAGGTTCAAGCGATTCTGCCTCAGACTCCTGAGTAGCTGGGATCACAGGCGCCAACCACCATGCCCAGCTAATTTTTGTATTTTTAGTAGAGATAGGGTTTCGTGATGTTGACCAGGCTGGTCTTGAAATCCTGACCTCAGGTGATCCACCCGCCTCAGCCTCCCAAAATGCTGGGATTACAGTTGTGAGCCATCGCACCTGGCCTACACATGCACTTTTGTTTGAATGATTTGAGAGTAACTCAGAGACACAAGCTTCTATTTTCCTAAGTACCTCAGTGTGAATTTTATAAGAACAAGGACATTTACCTGCATAACCAGTAATATAATTATCAAAATCAGGAAAGTTAACATTGATAGAATACTGTAATCTATAAATGTATTAATATTCAAATTTCATCTATAGTCCAATGACGTCTTTAGTGACAGTTTTTTTCATAGTGTAAGATCATTATTGCATTTAGTTCTAATGTCTCTTTGATCTACTTTATGATAATTCCTCAATCTTTCACAATACTAGCATTTTTGAAGACTGTAGGCAGTTATTTTGCCTGGTATCCTTCAGTTTGGCTTATCTGATTTTTCCTCAAGATTAGATTCAAGTTATGCAGGGGTTGTTTTAGCAGGAATATTATCAAAGCAAAGTTATGCCCTTTTCAGGGCAACACAGGAAGAGACACATGATACTGTTTCATTGCATTCTTGTTGATAGTAGTTTTGATAAACTCTTGTTGGTATATAAAATCAATGCTAAGAATCTATTGGTTCTTAAAGCTTACAAATAATATTTAGGTTTTTAAAAATTAATGCTGATGTTTCCTTCTGTTTTAGATGTAATATATTTATAAAAATACAGTTGTCTAACATAGGAGTTGATTATGTGTGTGTATTCTCATTAAGATGGAGGATGCCTCTTTCCCAAGTGGAGGGAATGCTATTGGTGTGAACTCGGCCTCATCTAAAGCAGATACAGGCCGTGGAAATGGACCCCTTCCTTTAGGGGGTAGTGGTTTAATGGAAGAAATGAGTGCCCTGCTGGCCAGGAGGTAAGGAATTTCATTATAATGGACATGCCCAGAATTGAGAGGATTTTAATTTTGTTCCGAATACAACTAACTAGATGCACTTCTTTCCTCATAGAGAAGTGGTTTTTATACTGAATCAGATAATATTTTTAAAAATTGAATTTGCCTTCTTTGTAGGAGAAGAATTGCTGAAAAGGGATCAACAGTAGAAACAGAACAGAAAGAGGACAAAGGTGTAAGTTAATAAAGATAGTCTATCTTAAAATATGGTATTCAAGCACAGCCCATTCAGGAAATAGTGTCAGCATTTATTTAATTTGAACTTAATTAGCTTGAACTTATATTTGCTAATTTTTAACTATTTATGCATGTGAAGTGGCTTGTTTTGACTGTTATTTATAAATTTTAAATGGCAGTCTTAGTAAAATGAGTTGAGTATTTGGAGTTGTGGGAAAAGCATTGAAATTCAAACCTGTGGAGTTTAATTCTGTTCCTTAAATGAGTGAATGACATTTCATTTCCCTTGCATTAATTTAAAAGGAAGGAATTAGCCTAAATTCATATGTTTCCCCTAGGAGCTCGATGGTTATTGGCTGTGCCCCCTAAGAGTGTATGCTTCATGCCCTCCTCCCTGATTCAGCTGGGCACACTCTGCTTTGTCTGTGCTATATATTGGTGTGCAACAAATAATATGTTTCCCTTGCTCCATTTGGCTGCCTTTGATACCATTCCTCAAATCTGTCTCTTGTGTCTGGCTTTGTAGCATTGGCTAGTGAAAGCTCTCATGGAGAACACATGAGGAAAGGAACTGTGGGGAGGGTTGAAGGGGAGGTGATTGAAAACAGGAGAAGAAAGAAGTCTAAGCTGAAATGAAAGGGAGAGAAGACCGATGAAAGAGAAAGTGGGGAGTGGCAGAAAGAATATTAGAAGTGCACATGTAAAACACTAAATGTATATAGCAGCAGGGGACTGGTAGATGTGATATTAATATGTATCTGTACATTTAGGAAGATTCAGAGCCTGTAACTTCTAAGGCCTCTTCAACAAGTACACCTGGTAAGTTCAAGATAAATATTTTAACCTTTATAAACTTTCTCTGAAAGTATTAATACTCCCCAGTTAAAAATTCCTCCTTTCCCCATGTTTGGACCAAGTGACTAGACACCAAAATGCCAGAGTTCTTTGTTCACACCTGAAAGCATTAATTAACTTTTTTCCTCCTGGAAGCTGCTGTTACTTTCTTGAGGTTACTTACTAAAACAAGGAAAATATTAATGTACTATTAGATGACGAGAAGTATTTTTCATAATTGTTTTCCTAAAGGTAAAAATAAAGTGAGCATGTTAGTTAGTACTGCAGTCTCCCTCAGAACATTCTCAAATTGAGAAGGGTATCCTAGCCATTCATTTGGGTGATATTGATAATTAAGGGAATAAAGTTTCTGATTTGTAAATTTAAAAAGTCTCCTTAAAATTTTGGGGAAGTGTTCTTGAATTCAGTGAAATTTCTGACATTGAGAATTCTTGAGCATCCAGTAAATCACCTAGATTATTAACAAAGTATATTTCACTAGAGGTACTTGATGAGTGCTGTATCCAAGATGAGAATATGAACTCATTACATATTCACAAGTTATTTCTTCATATTTGATTAAAGACTAAGGGCTGGACTATCCAACTCCTTATCTATTCTGGAATGAAACAACATAAATAAACTTGACGAGTTAATATCTAGAGTGGTCCATAGGAAACCAGTATAGAGAAATGCTTATATTCCTACAGTTTTGATTTAAATCCAACTAACTGCATCTACAGTTACCTTTTTAATTTTCATTGTTTTATTTTTTTGAGATGGGGTCTCACTCTGTTGCCCAGGCTGGAGTGCAATGGTGCGATCTTGGCTCACTGCATCCTGTACCTCCTAGGCTCAAGTGATCCTCCCACCTTAGCCCCCAACCCCCCAAGTAGCTGAGGCCCCAGGTGCATAGCACCACTCCTGGCTAATTGTCTGCATTTTTGGTAGAGACAGGGTTTCACCATGTTGCCCAGGCTGGTCTCAAACTCCTGAACTCAAGTGGTCCAGCTGTTTCAGTCTCCCAAAGTGCTGGGATTACAGGCATGAGCCACAATGTGCCACGTAGAATTCCCTTTTTTTTTTTTAAGTACTTCTGTTTTTGTTTTTTGTGATTGTAATCCATCTTTTCACACCCCCACCCCCCATTCCTCATTCTCATTATTAAATAGTGACTCTTCAGTAGACTGATTGCTGTACCATAATTAACATCATGGCTTTGTTTTCCCTCTGAATAGGACTCAATTTATGTTACTTTAATTAAAATTTCAGTGCTTTGTGACCCACTTATTTTAGCTTTATCCTTCTTTCTGTAAGCCAAAAGTAATTATATATGCTGTCATTAGTACCGCATAGATGTTGTAAATGTGAACCATACTTCAGGGTCACAGAACCTTTAGAATATGATGAGAGCTATAGATCCTTTTTCCAGGGGGGAAAATTGTATTTTTATTCAGATTTGTTCATAATTTCAGAATGTTCATGAATTTCTTGAAGGTTATCCGTGGACTCCAAGTTAAAAATTCCTTATAATGTATAACCCCTTATATAAAATATGAAAAAATAGGCCGAGCGCGGTGGCTCAAGCCTGTAATCCCAGCACTTTGGGAGGCCGAGACAGGCGGATCACAAGGTCAGGAGATCGAGACCATCCTGGCTAACACGGTGAAACCCCGTCTCTACTAAAAAATACAAAAACCTAGCCGGGCGAGGTGGCGGGCGCCTGTAGTCCCAGCTACTCGGGAGGCTGAGGCAGGAGAATGGCATGAACCCGGGAGGCGGAGCTTGCAGTGAGCTGAGATCCGGCCACTGCACTCCAGCCTGGGCGACAAAGCGAGACTGTCTAAACAACAACAACAACAAAAATATGAAAAAATAATGTGCAGGTTTTGTGTGTGTGTCATATATATATATAAAATATATATATATAAAAGCAAAAAGGGCAGGGCCTCTTTTGTCACTTGTTTCATTCCGTTTTTAAATTGACATTGTGTCAGGCACCTGAAGTGAAAGGTACAGGTTCTAAGCACGAAAAAACTCTTGGTCCAGCTGGGAAGATGAGACACACAGGTGTAAAGTTAACCTTTTACAACCACATGTTGAATACTAAGTAATGTGTGTCAAAGAGGGAGGAGATGACACATACGAGTCACCTGAGTCACCTTTGTAGAGAAAAGTGATATCTTAGTATGCCTTGAAGAGTATTTAGTTTGGCTGAAAGTGAGGGAAGGTGTGATATTTCAGAATGTAAGTATAGCTTGAGCAAAGGTATGGAGTTGGAGATGAGCAAGAAGAGATTAAGAAATAGGAAATAGACTAGAACAGGGAATTCTTTTTGAGGAGTATTGTGGGGGAAAGTTTGGAAATATGAGTTAGAAACAAAAATGTTGAGAGCCTTCTATAAAATTATCAAGAGTTTAGACTTTATCCTGCAAGTACTGAGTTCAGTGGACATTTAATCCACTGAAACTGAGGCACATTAAAATGGCACTTGTGGTTTTCCCGTTAAAACTAGGGAGGATTGAGATAGGCAGACCAATTAGGAAGCTCTATACGCATGCCAGTAAAGATCCTCTGAAGGGAACCCAGCCCTTGCCCCTCCTGAAACACAACTGAGCTCCTTAGAGAGAAGAGGCCCTTGCTTCTCAGCTTCCGCAGAGCCAGCTGAACAGCTCTTTCTCACAACCAGATGACCTTTAAGACTAAAAGATGGTTCTGGTTTGGCTGACTGGGAAAGGACCTCAGCCAGCTGTTAAAAGGTAGCACTTGCTACATCTTATCCACTTTGGAATTACTCCCTCATCCTTCCACCTGCCACCTGTTTAGTGACAATGTCCGATGACCACTCCCCTCCCTGTCCAGGTGTCCCTCAGTTTCATTCAGGACTTCCCTCTTTTCACCTGCTTGGACTGGTGTCAATTGGATATGTTTCTGATTCTGCCTGTCCCAAACCCCATCCAATTTGATCTTCCTGGTCATGTGTGGAACTTGCCAGCACTGTGGCGGTCATTGAGAGACTGTGTTAGCTTTTAGAATACAAAAGAAGGAATATAAAAAAGAAGGAATTTGGTTGATGAGGAGTAAAGCAAGATCAATAATGACTTTAAGGTTTCACACCTAATGCCTGCATGCAGCAGAAATCCAGAACCAAAAGCAGGGCTTCATGGAAGAGTGTGAGTTTATTTTTGCGTAAGTGTACTTTGAAGAGACCATAAGCTACCTGAGAATGTGCAGAAGCCAGTTGAGGAGCTGAATTGGAACTCAGAGCAGTTTTAGTTAAAACTACACAATGAGATCACAACTTATGAATAGACTTCATTCTCATGTGGCCCAAATTCTTTCCTCCATGACAAGATTCCACTTCTGATTTTACCCAGTCATGTAGTGAGGCCAGTGACAGCATCAGTGAGTCAGCCCAGATTAGAAAAACAATTCAAGCACAATAGACAGCCAGCTAGTGAGTCACTGACTACATAGTGTCTTTTGTAATAAGAGCTTAGAGCGAACTTGTTTACATTTAACTGGAATTATCGGCTAAGTCCCAATAATTCATTGTTTAAGAATCAAAGAAGTATAGTAGAATTTCAGGATTCTGAAATTTAATTTGAGTTGCTCCTATTTTTTTTCCTAAGAGGGACTATTTGGATTTAGATTAATTGTTGAAATACATGAACATATTATAAGTTATACTTATTGTTTTTATCATTGGCGCTAAAAGTAATTTAAAACAATGTCAGTAATACTACTCCATTAAATTAATTGAACTATCCTAATTTTAAAATTATCCTACTTTATTCTTACTATCCTTTCTTTATTAGAGAAACTCCTTACCATCCAGTTTATAGAATTATAATATTTTAGACTTAACAATGTAAGTTTTTCCTTGGAAACTTCCCGTACTAGTTTATAATTTCTTCTCATTTTGAGGTCTGGCGTTGTGCAAATTAGAATCCTTACAGATTTCAACTAAAGTTTAGAATTTAAATTTTTATTTATATTACTGCTATGTAAACAGGTATAATGAGATTTAGTATTTTGTTTTTTGTTTTATAATAACTCTGGAAGCGTATATTTAATAACTTCTGTTCTTTGTTTTTAAAGAACCAACAAGAAAACCTTGGGAAAGAACAAATACAATGAATGGCAGCAAGTCACCTGTTATCTCCAGGTATCAACTTTTTTCTCTTAAGTTTTATATTTTATTTGTATAAAAAAAGAAATTAGTGCATTCTTAGTGTAGAAAAAAATTGAATGGTAAGAAATTATACAAGGAGTTCATAAAACTCTCATGATCCTCCTAGTATTGGACAACCACCAAGCCTCATTATATATTACTCATCTACATTACTAGTGATTGATAAATTCTACCCTACATTTATTAACCAGATGATCTGAGATTTTAAGATAGCTTTGTCTTTCCCAATTTGTATTTTGAAAAATTCAAAACTACAGAAAAATTAAAAGGATAGTACAGTGAATATGTGTATACCCATTTCCTAGGTTTAACAGTTGTCAACATTTTGCCCCACTTGTCTTAACTATCTACATATCTATACTTTTTTCCCCTCTGATTAGTTTGAAAGCAGTTCACAAATAAGAAGTGTTTCACCCTAAATACTTTAGTGTTTTTTGGAAGAACCAGGACATCTGCTTTGTAACCAGAACACCATTATTACTCTCAAGAAATTTAACATTGAACAATAATATTATCTATTATAGTATATAGTCACATTTCCCCATTAGTCCCAATGACATAGTGTGTGTGTGTGTGTGTGTGTGTGTGTGTGTGTGTATATATATATATATATATATATAAAACTTTCGGAGCCTTTTTTAAACCTGAAAATCAGCTGGAGAGAAAAGAGCAAAATGAAACCTACATCTTTGAATTTGTAAAGTAGAAACATGTATTTCCCTATCTCATTTGAAACGTGTAAGTGTAATCAAGTTAGAAAAGATAGTATCCAGAAATAAGGCTAGCTAATACTTGTTTCTACAAGTCCATGTGGGCATGTTTAGGCAAATTTGTTCTTCCTTTAGCTAGGCATACTTTATTTTCATGACTAAATTTATATCACAGCTCCTGAACACAGATGAAACCTTTTCTTGGTTTATGAGACTTGTATAAAGTTTAAAGGACTTGTATTTTTCCCAGAAAAAAAAAAAAAGTATGTATTTAGAAACTAAAAAGTATTTTGTCTTTTCTTTCTGAGCTATTTGCCTTATTTTTGTCTTGTAAAAAGCAACTTGACTCTAATTATAGAAACCTAATAAAGAGAAGTACAAGGATAGACTTGTAGACCTGTTCTGTGTTAGTCTAAGTCTGAATTTGGATTTGGCTTTCTATGTGGTGCTTTCTGCTAGTCGGAAAGAAGATTTGGTAATGACACAATTGTTTAAGCTCCACAAAGAAACTAGACCTTTTGGAATGTATAAAAGCTTTTAGTTTCTAAGTGATTGAAAGATGATCATATTTTACTTTAGAAGAAAGAGGGGAATTGCTTTTGGTGTACATGTGTTTTCAGTAGAGTAGAAAAATTGCACATTTGTGTTTCTCAGACTCCTAACTGAGGTGGCCTTCTAACATATCTCTACCAGTTATGGATTTTCTTCAGTACCACATTATGAAGTGCTGATTTATCAAGCCCATAACAAGGGGCTGGCCAGGCGTGGTGGCTCATGCCTGTAATCCCAGCACTTTGGGAGGCTGAGGTGGGTGGATCACTTGAGGTCACGAATTCGAGACCAGCTTGGCTAACATGATGAAACCCCATCTCTACTAAAAATACCAAAATTAACTGGGCATGGTGGCACACGCCTGCAATCCCAGCTACTTGGGAGGCTGAGACACGAGAATCACTTGAACCTGGGAGACGGAGGTTGCAGTGAACTGATATCGCGCTATTGCACTCCAGTCTGCAGACCTGTCACGTGTCATTTGTCCTTTCTCTTCATCCTGCTTCGTTGATCTGCATTCCATGGTGAATTAAATAAAGCTAAGCCTATGTTGATGGCAGAAGTCATGTCTTAGAATGGACATGGATGAGGTTCTCCAAATGGAATACGTTCTTGGATGTATTTGGTCCATTTAGTAAAGGAAAAGTTGTTCTTTGAAAGACTTTTTTATTTTTCCTAATTCCAGAGTAGGGAGAAAAAAGACTTTTTTTTTTTTTTTTTTTCCAGACTTGGAAATTTAGTAAGTGCTCTAAAGGTCACCATTTTGAAAATAATTTTATATAAATGGGTTGAATCTTGATTCTTAGTATCTAATAGTGCACCATAATCATGTTCCAATTCTGTTAGGTGGTTTTCCTCCCGTTTCCCAAAATAGAAATTCTGAAACCCTGATTATTTCCTGACCACTCATATATCTTTTGATAGATTTGATCCAACTACTGGTATGTAGGTTTTAAAATTTCACAAAAGCTGTTTTAAACCATAAAGGATTTTAAAAATACGTTGAAAAGAGTAAGAACTATATTGCTTTTCTTCCTAAGTTATCTCCCCGTTCCTTCAGAAAGCAGGTATATTAGCTGCTTTAAGTATGTCTCATCCTTGCATTGCAGTGAAGGTGCCCATTTATCTTTGGAATAACTTTGTCAAAATTATGTTAGTGGTAAGATGGATTAATATCCCATAATATACATGAGATATTGCATATTGCTGTATTTGTTAAGAGTAAAAGCAAGAATGTTTGGTTAAAAATGCTTTAAACTATGACTGGATTATAACATTTGGAAGGTTGGTGCATTCATCCGTGATTATTAAGACCTGACAGATCTTGTATTCAAGATGGGAAAACTAGTCCTTTACATGCCTCCTGAGAAGAGTTAATTTTTTATACTTTTATATACTTACTGTGCCTAACAACCTATAAAAAGTAGCCATTGTGTAATGATTTTTAAAATTTTCTGTAACTGGTATCTTCACATAACTAAAAGTAGTTTTAAAATATCTTTTTTATTGGGGAAAAATTGGTTATTTTAAGGTTAATAGACTCAATTATTGTTTGGTTTGCTATTAACAACCTATAAAACAGTAACATAATGAGAATTATTTTTTAAAGTTCTATTGTGTATCCCTTTCAATGGTTTTCCCCTTCATAGACGGGATTCTCCAAGGAAAAATCAGATTGTTTTTGACAACAGGTCCTATGATTCATTACACAGGTATCATCCTGCTGTGACGTTGTGATTTGAGACTTTTAAATAACATGTTCAGGATAGGGCTGAGCTTTTTCTACCTGGATTGGTAATCACCACAAGGGAGATTTTTTTTTCTTTATTTTGAATACCTTTTAAAAATTCTGCCATCACTTCACAGTTGGATTAGGATAAATACAAATGGTAAACATATTCGAAATACTAGACTGGGAATCTAAGGCCACATATATTGTCTAGGCCATTTGTAGCTTAAGCATTTTCTTTTAAAGGCTGTTTGCCTTATGATCATAAGACAAGGTTTCAAAAAAGTAGATAGAAGATCCTTTTCCATCTGTTACTGGAACATGGGCTAATATTAAAGCCATGGTTGTGGTTTCTTTGAGGAAAATCTCTTGTTTCCTAGATACTTTGTAGTAAATTATCTTGGACAATTTAACATCTAACACCCTGAGTAGATTGTTTTCTAGATGAGCCCTATTATACCATTTTTTAATTAAGAACACTTAAGATACGAACTAGTTTTTTCTTAATTAAAAAAATTGACAGCTAAAAAAAAAATCCTCAAATGCTTTTCAGTTACTTATACAATTAATGTGGCAGAATAGGGACTTAAATATAGTAGTACATTTTATAGGCAGATGTTTAAAAGGCAACACTCTCATCATAAAATAATAAAAACTGGCCCAGCACGGTGGTTCACACCTATAATTTTGGCACCTTGGGAAGCCAAGGCTGGATGATCATTTGGGGCCAGGAGTTCAAGACCAGCCTGGGAAACTTAGCGAGACCCCATCTTTACAAAAAATGAAAAAACTAGCTGGGCCTGGTGGCTTGTGCCTATAGTCCCAGCTACTCAGGAGGCTAAGACAGGAAGATATCTTGTGCATAGGAGTTAAGAGGCTGCAGTGAGGCATGATCACACCACTGCACCCTAGCCTGGGTGACAAAATGAGACCCTCTCTTAAAAAAAAAAAAAAAAAAGTAAAATAAAAACCTGAGAAACCCTCATTTTGTGATCAATTATGATGAAAACCCATAGGTTAGAAATAACTGAAATATATTTATGTTATTTTATACATCTTTTTTTTTTTTTTTTAATATACATCAGGTCCACTGGGAATATGAATTAAATGCTGTTCATAGTGGATGTGTATCACAGTGAGTTGGCAGTTCAGTAAGCAGACTCTGGCCAAATTCTTACTTGCTAAAATTATTTTTATGCTATTAATGATCGAACTACTTAACAAGTTAATTTTGTCAGCCAGTTAAATCTTCACAAAATGTTTATATTCCACTAGTGAAATAGTTTTTTCTGCCTTTTTTTTTTTTTTTTTTTTTTTTTGTTTGAGAGAGAGAGTCTCACTCTGTCTGGCCCAGGCAGGAATGCAACTTGAGCAGTGGTTTTTTCGTATTTTAGTTTTAGTTTTTTTTTTTTTTTTTTTTTTTTTTTTGAGGTGGTTTGTTTTGGCCAAAAGATTTCTTTAGAAAATTTGCTAGTACATAGAAAAATAGCATTTAACAATGAAATTTTTAAGGCTGGGTACCATAGCTCATGCCTATAATCCCAGCTCTTTGGGAGGCCTAGGCAGGAGGATCACTTGAGTCCAGGAGCTTGACACTAGCCTAGGCAATGTGGTTAAACCCTGTCTCTATAAAACATACAAAAATTAGCTGGGCATGGTTGCATGTGCCTGTGGGAGGCTGAGGTGGGAAGAAGGCTTGAGCCCAGGAGGTCAAGGCTGCAGTGAGCTGAGATCATGCCACTGCACTGCAGCCTGCGTGATGAAATGAGACCTTGTGTTCAAAAATATATATATTTTTTTAATGTAGTAAATCTGCTCAGTTATCTTGCCGCTTTCACACATAGTACCCCCTGGGATAATGTTACTGATAAACTTTTTTGGTAAAAGTTAAGAAAAAAAGTGGTGATTACATCTTTCCTTCAGTATGAAAAGTTCCCCCCTTTAGTTAATTATCATGGTGGTGGTGGTGATGGATTGCATGTTAGCATGAATTAAATTTTTAAAAATTTGCATGTCTCCACAATTGTTTTTATTACATGACAATAATATTTTACATTGCCTAGTAAATATGGATATATTCGTAACATACTTGCCCAATTAAATAGCAGACTGTAGTTGTTCATGTGAATTTCAGAGGTATTCATTATATAACTTGAGAAAATAACTAGCTAAATGGACCACTTAAATGAGAAATGTAAAAGAAAAGCAGAGTATGAATTATAGTTTAATTCTAGAGAACAGGAATAGGTAGCATGAGTGAGTATATGAAATGATGGTGTCCTAAACTGTAAGACTGTTTGCCAGACGTGGCTCTGCATAGGGCACCATGACTTGCATTTTATGGATCTCAGTAAATCTTAAGTGACCTTGGAATTTAGTAGTCTTCCCTAGCAAAGTAAGAAGGTGTAGCCTCACAAGAGGAAAGGAAATATTTCATATAAATCTTATTCCCTACAGTGCCTAGCTCAGTGCGTATTGAATGAAGTTTTCTGAAAGTTATTATTTCCCCCACTCATATAAGCAGATACCTAATAAGGTAAAATTGGATGACTTGCTTCCTAACAGTCTTTTAAGCAGTAATACATTTTGATAGTAAAGCAGATTAACAGGCCGGGCATGGTGGCTCACACCTACACCCAGCAATTTGGGAGGCTGAAGCAGACAAATTATGAAGTCAGGAGTTCGAGACCAGCCTGGCCAACATGGTGAAACCCCGTGTCTACTCAAAATACAAAAAAAAATTAGCCAGTCCTTGTGGCGTACCTGTAATCCCAGCTACTCCGGAGGCTGAGGCAGGAGAATCACTTGAACCCAGGAGGCAGAGGCTGCAGTGAGCCGAGATCACACCACTGCACTCCAGCCTGGGAGACAGAGCAAGACTGCATCTCATAAACAGCAGCAACAACAACAACAACAAAAAGGTTAACTCAGTGTTTAATCTTCAGGAACCATGCCTATGGGTTTGAAGTATTTTATGTCTTATAAGAGTTATAAAATTATAACTTGGAAAAATTTATTACACCTTTTGGGTCTTGCTTCAGATTGCTAACGTTGGTACTCTGCAAAATTGGGAATATATGATTTGCCTGATGGTTTTAAGTTGCATTTATTCGTGGCTCGTACTAGACTAAACCAGAACCCAGAGGCGTGCCCAATTAAAACTCTAGGTTTTCCGCTGAGGATTCTTTTATTGCCACAATTGGAGAGGGCACCATGACTGGTTTATTTGGTGCTGAAACTTGTTTAAAATATACCTAATCATTGACTTATTAAGAATTATAATAGAAACTAAACTTTTGAAAGTGCAATAATAATTGACAATCTGCTTCTGTTTGGCATTTCCTTTTTATTTAATAAAATAAATGTGTGGAAGTAGTTAGCCTGAAACACAACATTCAAATGACGTCTCCATAAAATTTTCACAAGGAAATAGTCACATAGTCTAATCTAATAAACATTTTTAAAACATTTTTTATTTTGATGCTTGAAATGGAATAATATGTATAAAGCAAATCATGCTCACTAAAAATGTTTTCTTCCTGCAATCCAAGGCATCAACTTTGTAAGCTGATTTATGTTAGTGCAAAACATTCAAGTCTTTATGTTTCTCCTTTCACTGGTTTGCCCAGGTATTTAAGTAGATAATGTAAAAGTTCAAAAGAAAGACAAAACAAGATTGTGTTATTTGAGCCTCAGATGTTCCAGCTGGCCTCTTCATCACTGTCTTGGTCAACATGCCACGTTATCTGGTTACCTCATGCCCAAAGAATACCATCGTCTACTCTTTTCTGAAGAAGTCTTACCACCTTGTCACCTTTTTCTAGTTCTTTTATAAATAAGAAATACTGAGAAAAGTGAAAAAATTTTGTTTTATGTCCTAATCAGCCCTACAGTTTTGATAATTTTTAACAAAATGGCTATTTTAAAGAAATGTATTTAAATCTGGTGTTGGGTTGGCAAATTTGCAATTATTTATGAACTTATTAAGTGTTAAGAATGTTGTTTACCTGTCCTGGAAATTTCATTTATGCAGACCAAAATCCACACCCTTATCACAGCCCAGTGCCAATGGAGTCCAGACGGAAGGACTTGACTATGACAGGCTGAAGCAGGTGGGCGCTCAGTGGCAGCTTTATTTGTACTTGTTTCTTTTAAAAAAATATCTTATATGCATATCTTTGACATGGATCCTGAATGTACTTAGAAAAACCATAGAGCTATTGCTATACAAATTAAACAGTGGCATTAGTAGTACTGTATTTTTTCAAATCTACACTTCCAGTTCATTGAGTTTGCATGAAATTCCAGAGGTAGTGGAGGGTGGGGCTGTGGTTCAGTGATAACAGCATAAGGTTTAAATGTAAGTGCATGGTATGCAGTTGTAAAGAAAACAATGGGGCTTTTGCTTTTCAGTTACTGTATTGGCAAAATCGAACGCAACAAATCTGATTTTGGCAAGAGTGCGAGGAAATAGGCACTCTTCTATACGTCGGCTTTCTTTTGGAAAGACAAAATCAAAAGCCTGAAAAATAAATGTCTTACCTTGAACTCAGTGATATGAATTCCAGGAATTTATTCAAAGAAAATATTGTGGAAGTATACAAAGCTATAGTGGGTAGAATAGAGGCTCTGTAGGCTTCAAGGGATCATAATTTAGTATGCTTAATAGTAAATTGTGAATACTTGCCTGTGTTAGGTAACAAAACAGATGTGTACAGTTATCTCAATTTTATATAAAAAAAGATACTGTCCACATTTGGGTACATATGCATTATATTTAATACTTGTGTACTCAGGAAGAAGTAGTAAGTGATAGGATTGTGATTTAAAATACCTTATTCACAGAAGAGATGAAATACATTTTTTAGATAAACTGAATTTTCATACTGCAAAGCTATTTGAAAAGTTAAATTCAGTTATATGATCTTAAAGGGGAACATGTGGTCATTGAAAATCAAGCCCTTGTTTTGCTCTGTATTGAATGTGGCTTTCTTGAAAAATATTTTAAAATAGAGCACTTCCACACACTTCAAAACATGGTCAATTCTTGGTTTTCTGAAGAATTGGAGGATAACAGAGGAATAGATTTGATTTGGGGGATGAGATGTAAAGAGTAATTTGGATCAGGATATCTGTGAGTTTATTTAATAACTTCTGTGTCTCAGTCTTTTCCATTGTTAAAATGAAGACTTTAATTGATAGTTTTATTTTAAACATGAGAAGCTTTTCAAAAGGTAAACTTTAACAGAGCAATTTAATTTTTCCCGGGGTATTCAGTGTTAAAGTCACACAATTCAAAACTAATCCTTCCAAAGGACAGCTGTTACTTTTCACCCACTAAAATTGTGTCACTTTGTCATAGGACCTCCAATCTTGAATCTGCAGGGGGGTTTTTTGTTTGTTTTTTGTTTTTGAGACAGAGTCTCACTCTACCACCCAGGCTGAAGTGCAGTGGTGCGATCTTGGCTCACTGCAGCCTCTGCCTCCCAGGTTCAAGCGATTCTCCTGCCTCAGCCTCCCAAGTAGCTGGGATTACAGGTGTGCACTACCACGCCCGGCTAACTTTTGTAGTTTTTGTAGAGACGGGGTTTCACCATGTTGGCCAGGCTGGTCTCAAATTTCCCAGCCTCAAGTGATCCGTCTGCCTCAGCCTCCCAAAGTGCTGGGATTACAGGCGTGAGCCACCGCACCCGGCCAAATCTGCAGTTCTTGAAGGAGGGCCCAGAGCACCACAGTTAATAGAAGTATAATGTGGGCTATGTATATATTTTAAATTTTTTCTAGTAGCCGCATTTTAAAAATACAAAACAAAAGGACAACATTAATTTAGAAACTTAATAATGTATTTAAAGTATGTTTTAATATGTAGTCAGTTTTTATAAATTACTAACGAGTTATTTTACATTGTTTTCATCATATTAAATCTGAGAACTCTGATGTGTGCTTTACACTTACAGCACATCTCATTTCAGATTAGCCTCATTTCAGCAGCTGCATATGGCTGGTGCCTGCCGTATTGGACAGCATGGGTCAACCAGGGCCTCGCCCACCTTCCTGCCTACCCATTAGGGCAATCTCTGAGGTCCCTTCAGGGAAATCCTAGACTCCTTGAAATATGGTTTGGCAGCTATGGTGATTCCTAAGAAATCTCCATACTTCAAACAAAAGAACAGATTTGCCAAGAGCCGATTGTCCAGTTTATTGTGATATCTTCATCCTCTAAACTTCCTTTGCATCACCTCTGAGATTGTTCCCAGAGGACTAGATTGAAAGCACAACTGTTATCATTTCTAGAAACTATCTGAATCATACCTTTCACTGGATGACAGAGTAATTATTTTAATTTTAGGAAGCATTCTATTTCACATATTGCTAGGCTAGAATAAGCCAGGATTGGGAAGGGAAGAATATTAAAACAAAATTTACCAAGGCTAGTCTTCCAAGAAATAGAATTGTGGCTCTGGAAACAAAAAAAAGCTACACATCATACTTCATGACATTCTTAAAATTTTATATGAGTAAGAATCTTTTTAGCAGTATTTTTTTTCTGTATTTCTGATATTTTTCTCTAATATTTTAGGACATTTTAGATGAAATGAGAAAGGAGTTAACAAAGCTAAAAGAAGAGCTCATTGATGGTAAGTATCTGGACAAATTTACTATTCCTATTCCTATAAACAATGTTTAAGATTCACCATTTTTAAGAAAATGCAAATAAGGAAATGCCCAGTTGATTACTTGAGGGCAATGACTTCCATAGTCCTTCCCTTTTAGGATTAGGGTTTTGGGGAGGAGGTTTCTCCTTCATATAATGGAAATTATTTTTGTAAATAGGGATTAAACAAAATCCCTCAATTCAGATGTTGTCTTGTCTTAGATGGAAATTCACATGAACAGATCTTTCTCTAGGTTACCCCTGCTCACCTGTCCCAGTGCCCTCTTCTTTTTGAGCCCACATACTCAGTGTTTTCATTTTGTATACAAAAGGAGAAAATATATAGAAATTAGTATCTTTCTAGTATTAAAGATGTGTGCAATGAAAGATGCAAAGTTAATTTTTTTATTACTGTGAGTTTGAGCACAATCCTTAAAGTTTCTTAAGAATGAGCCACTCATTTATCTTACTTTACCATTCTATTTATTTTCAATACTTGTTCTTTTCCATCCAGCAATCAGGCAGGAACTGAGCAAGTCAAATACTGCATAGAGGAACAGACTAAGGAGAGATAGGACTTTAATCTGAAGGAAAAAAAATCCTACAAACAACAACTGTTCACAACAGCAAACCCCTACATTTTATGAGCTGTAAGAAGAAAATGGAGACAAACAGAAGGAGGGAAAATCCAACCTACTCTGAAAGCCTTCAAACATTATGACTCTGGCGATAAGCTCTTTTCCCTCTCCGTTTGCTGCTTTTTTCTGGCCTTTACAACAGAATGGAAGAGAATCATATAAGAGTTCCTGTAACAGTTATGCAGAAAATACTAAAACCCATCAGGCAAAATCACCGTGCATTGAAATATTTTCATGTCAAGATAAAATTGCACATTTTCCACAATACATTGCTAAAATAAAGAGGAGAAAGGCTTAGGAAGTTTTTTTGCAGAGAGTGCTGGTAAAGAATTGAGCAAGTTTGCTATTGTATTGTAATGTTTCTCTCAGGTTTGTTCTTCCTATCATGTTTGATATTCCATGAATAATTGAGATCAGGCCTATGTAAGTTAAGATCATAATAAGTGGAACAAATGGAATTGTAAGTGCTTTCAAAGGGTAATATTTATAAGAAAGTGTCCGAAAAATGATATCTTCAGCTTGAGGAATTTTAGAATGATAGGAAGTCTCTCAAGTTAGCCTTCATGCAATTTTATAGATTAAAACATAAAATTTGTCCAGAATTTAAAGATTTAGATGCCTTCCTAAATTGTTACAATGCTTTACCAAATCTATGACTTCTACATAACACAAACCAGTGGTCAAATGTAAACACTATATTGTAGATTTACTGTAGGTTTTCAACCTTTTTTAGATTTATGCATGTGGACATTTTTATAATGTAATTACAATCACCACAAAGTTAGCTTTTTTAATTGCAGACAGTAATGCATGTCACACTAATATGTAGTGGCCTTTTCAAGGCCTAGTCCCAGGGAAAACATTTTGTAGAGTATAGGGGAGTGGGAGGAAGGGGAGGAATAATTTTTTATTTGAACTTGATTTCTGCACTGTCTTTTTCTCAGTTACCTGCATGAATAATAATGAGGAATATTTTGTGACTTTAATTGGTAAATATGTTACAAAACCAAGTACTTAATCTTTTACATCATGTCTTCAGCTATTTGTATTTTAACCAGTAATTTCAATGGTCTGAAACATGATTCAGAGCTTCACATAATATCTTACTGTGGAACTCAAAAGTTTGATCACTGAATTTGGCAGTTATTACTACCTAGGTCCCCTGCTGTTACACAGGTGTTTAGATACATGCTCCTGAATGAAGCTGCTTTTGAATTTTGTTATGTTGAAATGCAAGAAATAACAATGATGGCAGCAATTAAGGTCACAGAAATCATTAGGTAAAGGAAAACCAACAAGGAGTTCTGCAGTTTTCTTTTAATAAGTAAAGTGAGACTTGAGGGTGGTGGGAAGAAGGAATTAGACTCTCTGCCTGCCACCCTGTGTGTGTGTGCCCTCGCGCACATGCTGTCTATATTGAAGCCACTTTTCTTTCCTTTGAAACTGGCAAGGTTAAAATAAGGGAGAAATCCTGTATGTTGCAATGATAGCTTTTTGGAAAATTTAAGAAATCAAACTCTCCAGGCTCTCCATCTTGATTTATGCTTGAGTGGTTATGTGCCATATTTGCTTTGAACTCTGATTATCAGAAATTTTACTAAAATTTTGAAATACTTCACTTTCATCCGCTTTCTAGATTTTGTACATCTCTGTCCATAAAGCAGAGCTTGTTGATAGTGTAGTTTTCTAAATGCTGCAAATTTGCAGCATTTACCACTACAAAGAAGTTTGGATGAAGGTTTTTTTTTTCTTTATTAAAATAGTTCCTATTTCTGTAGAAATTTCACTTTTAGATTAAACTGTGATGGATGAGCTATCATAATTCAAGTATACATTTCTTTTTTCTATCATATTCATTGTCATGCAGTAGTAGTAAAAACATCAAAGATGCAGCAAGCTTATGACGTATTTTCTAAAAGAAATAGGAGGCATTTTCATCTTTATTATTGTACTTTTGGTTATGCAAACACTTTGATAATATAATCAGTTATGTCCCCTATAAATCTGGTCAGAAACCTCTTTTGATTTTGTTGGGTAAGTTAAATAGTCTATAGTAGGTAGAGTACTGGGTACAAGTGGTCCAAACTAAGATAAGAGACTAAAATAAAATGCTAAATCTTAAAAGAAACTGGGTTTATGCACTAAACGTTTTGTGCCTTGGTCTAATATTAACATGATGTCTGTGTAAAATGACAAAAGAAAAAAAAAAACCAGTGTTGAATCACACTATATTTTCCATCATCCCAGATTGCTAATTGTGTTCTTTCCAAGAAGTCTGAATGAATTATTATATACATTTGCTGTCACATACATGACAGTTGTGTCATTATTAGAGATTTCAGTAATTACAGTGGGAAACAGAAGCCTAAGTTCTTTACCTTATCAAAACTATGTTCCTGGAACCACATTATTATGATGGTTTTTGTGCTCTTGTACATTGGATGTCTTAAGCTGAGTACAGTTTAGGGGATCCTTTCTCATGACAGGAAGGTACTGCTTTCCTCAACACTGTGATCTGACCTGTGACAAATCTGTACTATCCACTATGTAAATGGCTCACAAGTCAATTGCAAACAAACTGAATGTACAAATCTTAGTGCTGGTGCTGAAATCTCTTCGGAATAGTCATCATGATTTAAAAGTTTGTTTAAAAATTTGCAAGCATCAAGTGTCAATCAAAACTGAAGATGAAACACTAATGAATGTTGAATTCTCATGCTTTTTAGGTGTACTTCCTTCTTAGAATTTTCAGTTTTCTATTTTTACCGTAACTATTTCGTTTAAATTTGTTTCACTTCAATTTCCTACATGCTAACTTCGTTTGTGCGATTGAAATAAAATTGCAGTATATATGTGTTGCTTGTTTGTGACACTTAGATAATCTTCTGAAATAATTTGTTTTAAAGTAAGTTACATTGGATGTGAAAAACACCTTTTAAAGTCCAAGACTTTACTACTTAAAAGTTTACATGTCACGTTACTACTCTTTAAAGATTTCATAGAAGTCGTGAATACTAAGTAATGTATACAAAAGAAATACTTGATGATGTGTCTACTTTTTGTATGAAATAACTGTTGGGTATTCCCTGTTCTTATTTTCTCTTTGCCCACCTTGACACAGTCACTTCTTCTTACAGTCAAGTTGATAGTAAGTGTTTAATTTTTATTCCATTTTGTTCTGCAACACATTCAGATACTTAAAACTCATTCATGCAGTTAGAATTTTCCTTTATATAGTTTGCATGGTAAAGGACATTGTGTGGTAAAGGGCATTATCGAGTATTGAACTTTATAGCAAAATGTGTATGGTGTTTATACATGATGCTGATTTCTTAAAACCTACATATAAGCAGTAGTACTTTTTCTCTATTATAAAGTATTAATTTTGAGTTCCATTTTATAATTCTGATGTCTTCTTTAGAAATACAAAATTACAGTCCTTGTATTATTTTCTTTGACCAGACCCAAATTTTCCCCCTTTCAACCGCCTCCATTCTCTTCTCCACTTATCATGGACCACATGTTCCCAACATTCATTAACTTTTGCAGCCATTACAGAGTTGACAGTTGTTAAATTTTCAGCTGATTTTTTTTTCTTTTTTGCTCTATCCTGTCTCATGTTCTTGCTTCTCTTCATGTGTAAGTCAGAATTTTTGTCTACAAATTAAAAGTCACTTCTCATTCAAAAATGAGTTAAGTAACATGCTAACCTTTTAAATTTGCCTAGCTACAACTTTTATGTCTCTTGTAAATTTATATATACTTTCAGTGCCATTATGAAGAATTGGCCCTTTAATTCTAAGAAGTGTTACCCTATGAAGCACAGTGTGCAAAGGTATGCTACAGGGTCTCTTTAATTCCTGTGTAGCCATTGTAACTTTTTAACACCATTACCCGTTAAATTCTGCCGATTATAAGCAGCGTAAAAGTAACTGTGTAAAGCAAACGTCGCAAAGGAACTCTGTAGGAGCTCTTAATTCCTCTATGTAGCTATCATAAAATTCACTTCCAAACTCCAAACATTTTTCTGGTAGCACCACTTTTGTTTTTAATAGAAAGGTGAGTTCATATCTGTACATCTCTCCAAAGCTCTAAGGAATGAGAAAAGCATCCTAGTATATTGAAATTACTGATGTTTAATACCTCTGTCTTTTCACTGAAAGCCATTTAATATTTATAACTTAGATGCTTTTTAAAGTCAAAACTTGACATACAGGTATTTATAAGGAACCTCCACGACGCTGAAAGAATGAAATTGACGTAGATAGCTTTGGCTACGTAAAGACATGGTAGAGGACATTTACTTTTAAGAAGAGTTTTCTTCTGAGGATGTGTAGATTTAACTAAGCAGCTGAAGTCAGTAATCCCTCAAGAAAGGCCGTTTATAGGAGCCAAGAACTGCTGGAAGTCTGTGATGCAGGTTCCTCTGTTCCCAACATCAAAAGCTGTGGATTATTAGGTGTGTTCCCCTTTATGTTATGTCTAGGTAATTTTTGAGACATCAAAACTTTTTAAAATATCAGTACTGGAAAGATGAAACCTTCAAATTAAAGCCTAAAAGTGATTAGAAAGTAAAATATTAATGCAGTAAATTTAGGATGGTTACAGATATTCACCATCAACATAAACGAGTTCCAGTATAAATTCTTTGTGGAATGCTAATGGTCAAGTCACATAAGAGGAAAATTAAATCGTCTGGTGAAGAGACATTTGAAAACTAAAGAATTAACTATGTAAATTTGTCTTTCTAAATAGTGTTCTTTATAAAGTAACAGAAGCATTGTAAAAGGGTAAATAAATGACCGTCATAATGACTTAGGGTGTTGTGAGAATGTCTGCCACATTTATTGGTTATTTCTGTTGAAATCTGAAGGAATCAATACATGTGAAGATTGAGAAAGGGGAAAAGGACTGTCTCCGTTACAGATATTCTGTAATGCACAGAACCTTCTAAACGGAAATGTTAGTATCGTTTAAAGCACATAGTAGACCTTGAGTATTTGCTAACTAGTTTAACATACAGAAAAAATCAAGGATGAAGCACCAATTAAGTGTTTGAACCAAAGAATCACAGTCACTGAGCTGCACCCCAGTTCCATAAAGCATGTTAAATACTCAAAAGAGCAGAGAGCAGGGCCCGTAGACGCTTCTAGTGCAGGACACAGGAATTCTAGGCAGTGGGAGAAAAGGGCCCTGACTGGTGGCTGAGAGTAAAAAGAATACACCATTTGAATAGTGCTGTTCTTTTTCCTCACTTTATTTAAAGGTATATAATTCCTAGTAGTTAGGACATCTAAATAGCTCAGTAAACTGGTCAGAGGCGGAAAGATCGCTTGAGGCCACAAGTTTTGAGATCAACCTGGGTAACGAAGACTCGTCTCTACAAAAAAAAAAAATTTAAAAATTTGGGCCAGGCGTGGTGGTGCACACCTGTAATCCCAGCTACTCAGACTGAGGAAGGAGGATCACCTGAGCCCAGGGAGGACAAGGCTGCAGTGAGCTGTGATCACGCCACTGTACTCCAGTCTGGGTGACAGAGCGAGAACCTGTCTCAAAAAAAAATTCTAAGAGAATATAGCTTTTCATTTTAATAGAAATTATTAGAAAAGCTTACATATTTCATTAGAGCCCAGTTAGACTACATTTATTCTGTAAAAGATCTATATAAAAATGACAACCTCATAGTTTATCATGTTGTAAATCTGATTTAACTGTTTCCCTTCAATTCCAGTAAAGATTTCTTCAGCAGTAGATGACAATTCTGAGAGCATATTATAAAGAAATAACTAATAAAGGAGATGGATGATGTTATAGGTTGGTTGAGTTTTAGTAAATAGTTGTTCTATGAAGGCTTAGAAAATAGGGAAAATTGAATAGTTGGTACTTTGAATTCGATAGGAAAAAGCACTCAGAAGAAAAGAAAAGTCTACATTCACTGGTGTTTAGATTGAGAGAGAGTTAATTTTCCCATCAAGTCCAAAAGTTTCCATCCAAGTCTACAGAAACAGAAAGAAAGGGTCTTGGCTTACACTTAAAATATGCATTGTTGTAACCATACAAGCGAAATACATTATAGAAAGCTTTTAAAAATTTGGTCTTGAAGCGCCTAACATTCCATGCTTTAGTCACATCTGTGAAACCTCTTTTTCTTTTTTTTTAAGATTAAAGGCATTTTAAAAATAAATGTTTTACAGCCGGGCGTGGTGGCTCACACCTGTAATCCCAGCACTTTGGGAGGCTAAGGTGGGCAGATCACCTGAGGTCAGGAGTTCGAGACCAGCCTGGCCAACATGAAACCCCATCTCTACTAAAAATACAAAAAAAATTGGCCGGGCATAGTGGCGGGCACCTGTAATCCCAGCTATTCGGGAGACTGAGGCAGAAGAGTCACTTGAATCTGGGAGGTGGAGGTTGCAGTGAGCTGAGACCACGCCACCGTACTACAGCCAGGGTGACAGAGTGAGATTCCATCTCTAAATAAATAAATGTTTTTCAACTTGTTTTATGTGAGAAATACCAGCTTTTCATTGTTACCACCAGTTTATCTCAGGTGTCACTCAGGTGGTTCTGCTGACCGAGGCACTGGGCCTTTTAAGTACGGAGTTTCCCTCCACCCTTTGATCAAGTCTGAAGTTTGTCCATTCTTGGTGGTGGGCTAACTTAAGTATGGGTTCACAAACTTCATTTGATGTCGTAAGTCATGAGGCCACCCCAGTGCCAGTGGTTGGGCATCACAGTGAGTCTGAGGTGATGAATTTGAGTTAGCTGTAGGCTAGTTCTGCACCTCAGCAACAGCCCATGGATGGGGTAATAGCCATTGACTTTGCCACTTAAATTTCCAGGGAGAAGAATAGCTTATAATTTATCTGAGGAAAGTAATTGGGAAGGCTTAGATACTGAGAAGAAAGCCCTGTTAAAATCTAGGTAGCATTTCCTTTCTACTTATTTATTACCAGAGGGATGGGAGGTTCAGGCCTGAGTCAGGACTTTACAATTTGGTGTCCTTCCCAGAGGTACTTTAGGCCTCATCATTTTAAGTTTCAATTACAAAAAAAAAATTTTGATGGGAGTCTTGCTCTGTCACTCAGGTCGGAGTGCAGTGGTGCAATCTCGGCTCACTGCAACCTCCGCCCCTTGAGTTCAAAGGGATTTTCCTGCCTCAGCCTCCCGAGTAGCTGGGACTACAGGCGCGTGCTACCACGTCTGACTAGTTTTCGTATTTTTAGTAGAGGCGGGATTTCACCATGTTGGCCAGGCTGTTCTTGAACTTCTGAGCTCAGGTGATCTGCCTGCCTCGGCCTCCCAAAGTGCTGGGATTACAGGCATGAGCCACAGCACCCGGCCTTCAATTGCAGAAATTTTTGAAGGGAGAATATTTGATCCTCACATAAAATGTCCTTGTTTCTGAAAGAAAACATGGTAGAAAGATTGTCATTGAGTCCATGTCTTTGCCACCTTGTTGGACTTGATTTCCCTTTCTCTGTGTTCCTCCTGCCCTCAGTCTCTCTCATTCTGTCCTTTTTGCGTGTGGAGTTGTGGGCAGGTCATTGGACTGGGACTGACTTTACCAGTTTTGAGGCTGCGGGGCTAATCAGTCATTCTCTCTGAGCCTTCTACCTCTAAAGTTTAGTTCTTTTTAAAAATTCTTTTTCTTTTGTTTTAATTTTTCCTCACCGCTATACAAGCGAGGGTAGATAAAGCTTGTTATTATTATTGTTATTATTATTTTGAGACAATCTCGCTCTGTCGTCCAGGCTAGAGTGCAGTGGCACGATTTCAGCTCACTGCAACCTCTGCCTCCTGAGTTCAAGCGATTCTTCTACCTCAGCCTCCGTAGTAGCTGGGACTACAGGCATGCGCCACCACACCCGGCTAATTTTTGTATTTTTAGTAGAGACAGGTTTTCACCATGTTGGCCAGGCTGGTCTCGAACTCCTGACGTCAGGTGATCCACCCACCTTGGCCTCCCAAAGTGTTGGGATTACAGGCGTGAACCATCGTGCCCGTCCCCGATAAAGCTTAGTTCTGAATTTCCTG